TATTTACTTAATAGATTGCTCCACAAAACACCAAGAGAGATCTTTAGTCTTTAAGATGTGTCCCTCAAAATGTGTATTATCCCCAGAATTTACAGCCAGAATTCCAACAGGGTTTGTACATTACTTTCATCAGACTTGGAAATGAAATACTATTTATCTCCACTTGTACCCCCCACATCATCTGCCATCCTGATAAAGGATCTTATTTATATTATTGATGTGCTCTGTTAGTTTTCTTAACATATACTGTTACCTGTTCATAAAAATATCTTTTATATATATTTGTATAACCGAAAATCAATTTGAGCTGCGTTTCTATATCGTATATGGAGGCAAGTAGGGGAAAGAAGGGAAGGAGGGAGGGAAGGAGGGAGGGAGGGAGGGAGGCAAGTAGGGGAAAGAAGGGAAGGAGGGAGGGAAGGAGGGAGGGAGGGAGGGAGGCAAGTAGGGGAAAGAAGGGAAGGAGGGAGGGAAGGAGGGAGGGAGGGAGGGAGGGGGGGAGGTTAAACTTTGTGAGGAATTCACATTGCAAGGGTTTTCATGAGATGTCTTTGTCCTGTTTCTATCTTCTGTTCTGGTTTCTTCCATAGCCTAGTATACCACCAACTGGTCATTTCTATAATTACACTCCTTATATTGATATCAAAAAATGTGCATTTCTGGTACCAAGATCTCTTTCAAACTCAGGGTTTGTTAAGCCTTTATCAGAATAAAGAGTTACCATGTATCCTTTATTCAGTTATCCAGTATTGGGAGACTTTATGGCTGCAAAACCATTGTAGTCAATGAGATTAAAAAAACAACAACTTTGATACTGAATTGTGGAGGCTCTGCTACTGGCTCTTTCCTGGCTCTTCAAGATCTCTTTCTCACTGCCACTGTAATGAGCTTTCATTGAGCTGATAGGCAAAACAAAAGTCTGCTGGCATGTTTGCACTGCTAAGCCCGATTCTGCTTCAACAAGACCAGTGGCTGGTGCTGTTCTTACAAGGTTTCATGTGGGGGATTAGCAAAGTGATTGGTGTTACCAGCTGATAGGAAAAAAACAACCGCAAATCATGCTTCTTATGGGAGGAGGCTGGACCATCTGTCAAAAGCTGGCCCTAAGCTAGCTAATCCATTGTGGGGAGGGGGGGACACTGCCTTACCAGACAGAATCTACCCTTCCCACATGTAAGGAACTGCATCACCTGATCTCAGGGATGATGGTATTAGTGAGTTTGCACAGTAAAACAGGTGATGCTGTACTGCTTTACTGGGCAGGACTCATATTAGATTTCCCTTGCGTAGCAAGGCAAAAAATCTTACATAGATTTCCAAGGTCACAAATGCTCCAAGAAGTAGATTTCTTATAGAAAAACTATAAAGGCTTTACAGAAGAATTCCAGTGACTACTGGGTATCAAATGCAAGCCTTATTTATAGTAAAATCAAAATTTAATTTCTTCTGCCTCTGGCTGTTTATTTTTGACCATGTGAGAATGAACTTTAACAACTCACCCCTCATGGATGAGGTGCAATGCCTAATCTGTGCTGGTGGACAGCTTTACAGTGAGAACTCACTCCTGTCCCCATTTCTCTTGCTACCTCTCTGAGCCCTGGCATCCTGCCAGGGATCAAAAGGTTGCCAAGAGAAATAGGAGATGTGTCTTTAGCTGTCAGTTATCTCATCCCATAGACAGGCATCTAAAGAGCTGTTACCCCACCACCACAAATTCACAGACATCAGAGGTTTGGATTAAAGATTTTGCAAACTGTGTAATTGGGCCATGGGAATACGCATATAAGCTTTATAAAATTTTGAACCACTAACTCACTTTCTGAGATGTGCATGTCACTACATATTTTTTCTGCAGCAGGATTTTCTCTAACATGGACAGTCCATTAGTTTCATAAAATAGCACACTCAGCTTAATTAGACAGAAAGATTTCACCAGTTCATAGGGGACAAAAGGGAGCTATATATCTATACATGTGTGTATGTGTAACCATTCCTAATATCTGCCTTTATTCAGAAAATAAATTCAAAGTTGCTTAATAAAAACATTAAACCTTTGACCATACTTGCACAATCTCCTAATTATACAGAACTATAACTAAATTGAAAATTAAAAGAATAGTTAAAAGGGGGAAAATGAAACTGAAGCAAAACAAAAACAAACTCTCAGCCCATTAAAGATGGGAAATTCTTAACATCCCACTAAAATCTTAGGCTGTGTCCCCACTTGTACTTAAGCACTGCACAATCATGTCCTGGCAATTCTTATTGCCCTCCTTGTCCCCATGATGTTGCTTTCATTTCATCTCATGAGTGAGAGACAACCTGGGGTTTAGTTGTACTGGTATTAAGGGAGTAATATTTTCCCCCTTATTCTGACATTGCCCAACAACAATGTTAAGATGTATAAAATCTATTAAGCTTTGTCACCATTGCTGTCTTGGAGGGAAATCAGGTAATTGGCAGTAATTGGGAACAAAGATGATAGAAGCAGAATAAGGATTGCCAATGGGGACAGCAACACTGATGCTAGTACTATTTTCTGACTCAAGGGTTGGGGGGATAGCACTTTAATTCAATAGTGGGAATGGGCCCATAGAAAACTGAAGGCATTAATTTGGGGGAAAAAAATGCCTGAACAGGTGGAGGAGAGCAATTGGCAGTATGGACCTCTGAAAAATATGTAGTATTCTAGAGGGGGATATGGCTGGCTGGATCCCTGAGAAAGCAATCATACTGATGATGATTTAAAGGGCTCTCACCTGTCCTTGAGTTGGCAGGAAACTATTCCAGAACAAAATTTCCTGACTTCCTCTCATCTCTGACATAAACCAGGATTCCTCAACCTTGGCAACTTTAAGACGGGTGGAATTCTGGAAGTTGAAGTCCACCCGTCTTAAAGTTGCCAAGGTTGAGGAACCCTGACATAAACAGCACATGCAAAGCACTGACAATTCCTCTTGTTCCACCAAAAATGAAGCTGGCTAGTAAACTAAAGAGAGAGAATGAAAGAGCAGTGATTATTGGGGTGAGAAAGTAAGATTTTGGTTTTGGTCTCCCTTTTCAACACCCCCCTCCCTCCCCAGTATGGGCTGCCAGGACTGCTGGGCATGTTAAACACCTGAAAATATGCATAGCTTGTGTGTGAGGCAAAAAAACAAACAAAAAAAACCAGGTTTATTTCACTCTGGGAGATCAATATGTATTGTCAAAGATTACATGACATTGTCTATATGAGATCCATGTGAAACCATAATCATAGAACTGTTTCACTGGCACAGAATTAGCTATTATGATCATGGATTCAAAGTTTTCTGGCACTGCCATGATGGAAAAACATGAATGCATAGAATGAGCCCTCGTGGATCATCTTTATTTTTATATGGGATACCCCAGAAACCAAAGTATAGATCAAGGGGTTTTTTTGGGACACAGAAAGCTGTAACAATCCAAAGTGTATTTTGAAGTTCACTATTGCTGCAGAGAGATCTTAGTTCACTGAAATCAGACTATCTCAATGCTCCAAATGTTTTTTACATTTTTTTACAGAGAATTCCAAGAGCAGCCATATACTATCTACAAAATCATCCAAGTTACATACTCTATTAGATTTGCTTAATTTTTACTTAGAATTAATGCAGGAATTGACTGCAGATAAATTGTGAATGTGCAGAATTTCTTTTGCTTAATTACTATAGTAACAGTTAATGTTTAAAATGGAAATTATGTTAATGTGGATCAGGTAGAAATTTGATATAGAAATAAAAATCAATCAATCAATCAATCAATCAATCAATCAATAAAAAATCCGTAAACTTCACTCAAAGTGGTTATTGTGAATAGATTATGGACCTGCTGCATTTCTGTAAAGTTACTATCAAAGGTGAAATCTGGGGGAAGCAGTGTTGGGCATAATTATATCAGGGACCTCTCCAGCAAGTGATTGGGGAAGCTGCACCATTAAATATCTTCCTCTCATCTCCAAGTTGACCAGAAAGATCAATGCCAAGTGTGGATAAAGTGCTCCTCAGCTGTAAATCCATCCTAGCATATGAAGCTCAGCAAAGTTTTACAGCTTAT